TCTCTCTCTCTCTCTGTGTGTGTGTGTGTGTGGTGGGTCAGACGAGCTAGTGCGGTTCTACCGCACCAACTGCGTGGAGAAAGACGCCATGAGACGGGTCAGTGAGTGAGCGGCAGGGGCAGGTGGGTGCACATGTCTGTTCGTTTGTGTTGGTGTGTGCAGAGCATCGGCTTTTGGGACGCCAGCCCGGAGAGCCGCGCGGTACACTCACACCCATCCCACCCATGGATTCACACATCAATCACATCAGATGCATATGCATCTCTCTCTCCGCCCCGCCCCCATGTTATGTCTCTCTGTCTCACTCAGAGGTATCGCGACACGTTTGTGCCGAGCTGCACGCCCATGGACCCCCGCACTGGCCAGCCCGCCCCCCTCCCTCTCGGCAAGATCCCACCACACGTGCCCAAGGGCATCCTCCCCTCACCCATACCCAAACCACCACCCAAACCGGCCGCAGTACCACAACCACCACCACAACCACCAGCAGCGGCAGCAGCAGCAGCCGAGCAGCCCCACCCCTCACTGACGCCGCCCAAGAGCCCGGGTCTAGAGTCGTTTGTGCCGCACCCGAGCAACCATCGCCCGGCGGGGTTCGACCCCGTCATCCCCCCGCCACACACACTCAAGCACCCCCGCCTCCACCCGTCACACCCGCCGCATCACCGCTCCGACAGACCGCACCCAGTGCGTCCGACCAGGAAGCACCAGACACTCAAGCACCCCTTCCCCACACCGTTGTCTTTGTCGCATGGGGCGATGAGCGGCACGTTGAGGCATCCTGGGGTGACGGGCGTGTCGGCGCTGGGGAGCGGCTGGTCTCGGGGGAGCCAGCGGGGCGCTGGGGGCATCTTCAGGAGCGGGACCATGCTGCCGCAGTCGGCTCTGGTATGGATGGATGGGAGTGAAAGACTCGTGTGCACAGATCATTGGTCAAGAGGAACTGTGTGTGTGTGTGTGTGTGGTCGGCTTGGCTCGCTCAGGCGATGGAGGGCGTCACCGATCCTGCACGTAGGCACTCACTGGCACAACGAGCAACCATCACGTCAGGGACACACGTGTGCTCTGTCCTACGACGTGCTACAGAGTTGGAGTATCTGCGGGCGATGGCCCAGATTGAGAACTGGGAAATGGTCCGGATGGCACTCGCGGTACGCACACACGGACAGACACACAGACGCACACACACAGATGGACGGAGGAGGGGAGCAGGCCGCGTACTGCACTGCACTGCATGTAGGCGTCCAAGTTCGACATCGACATTTACAATCCCGCACTCAACATCAGAGTCCTCGACGAGCGGATCACTACACACCCCGGTGAGCGAGGGCGCGAGGGAGGGAGGAGTGAGGGAGGAAGTGTACGCCCGCCGTGTGAGTGTGGGTGTGATGTGTATCAGATGCGCGCAAGTCGACCTTTCGCCTCGAGACGTGTGTGCAGCGGCTGACCATCATCACCCACAACAAGGACTCGGGCAGCGGCGGAATCGTAAGCAGAGAGAGTTGTGGTGTGGCCGTACATGAATTCCTTCACAGAAGAATGTGTGTGTGTTGCGCGCTGTCCGTCCCTCTCTGTCTGTGCGCCCTCTCTGCTGACCGCGGTCAGCTGAAGCGTGACGCCCCCAACATGATCATATCGATGATGGGGTGTCACCTGGAGGTCCCCCAGTCATACGAGGCGCTCTACAACGCCGTTCACGTACGTTGCATTGCAATGCTGGACACACACAAGGGACACACCCACCGGGGAGATGAGACCATCGATGGGCGTGGCGTCTAATGGTTGGTGTGTGCTGTGCTGTGTGTCGCGTCGTGTCAGCACTTCGCGAGCATCACAACGGACGAGCTGAAGCGTGTGCAGGCCTACTGCAAGCAGACGCTTTCGGTACAATAGAAATACGGAGCTGGGGGCGGGGGATTCGATCGGATCCACACACGCACCAACACACTGCTTGCTTTATGTATGTTGTGTCTGTTTCATTCATTCATTAATTCATTCATTCATGTCAGGCTGAGGCGCTTCACCGGATGAGTGTGCCAATTTACATTCCCAAGCTGCACTACCCCGACCCGCACGATGTCAGGGGACAGATGTTGCTCAAACCGCCTATGGGTACGTATGTCACGTATGTGGGTGCGGTGCCTACGTGGGTCTTTCAATGGGAGGGGAGCTTCGCATTCTCTCTCTCTCTGTCACATACACATCAGACGCCGACGCGGATCTGTCCAAGGTGGTTGCCGCGCCCAGACAAAAGGGTGAGTTGACGACTGACTGAGCGCCCCACCACATGACAGCATGTGTCCCTCCCTCCCTCCCTCCCTCCCTCCATCTCTCCCTCCCTCTCTCCTTTTCGTTCGGTCAGTGGCGGTCCCATCGGCGGCTGATGGCGAGGACATGGACCTCACCGCCGAGAAAATCGCCATACCCGCTGAGCGCGTCATCGACGACACACAGGCCTCACTCATGTAAGTAGCCACACGCTGGCCACCGACAGACAGACAGCCCACCTTACCTTGCATATCTGTCTGTCTGTCGTGCAGCAGCGGGTCTCGCATGGAGGGGGCGGTGGCTGGCCGGCTCAATGGCGCCATCGACAGCTTCATTCGTGAGGACCACCAGCACGCAGCCGGCCCCCTCCCGCCACCCGCATTCGCCATCCCTCCCTCAGCGGCCTTCGCCCCGCCACACACACACGCCCACACAGGCCGGCCGATGATGCGTGTCGACATGATGCGCGCGGCCACTGACTCAGGCCGCGTCACGCCCATGATGCCCCATGCCCCCGGCCGGCCACTCGCTCCCCCGCCAAGTGCGGCAAGCGAGATGGTGACCATGTTGAAGGACTTCTTCTCTCCGGGCCAGCAGCCCCCCGCGCCATACACGATGGGCCCCGGAGCTCAGGCAGTCGACGGCCAGCCGCCCGGGCCGCCCCCTGCAATCGGGCCGTTCCCGTCATACATCGCCAGCCCGCAGGAGTCGCCCGCCCTGCCGCCGTCGTCTCTGTCGTACCAGCCGCCCCCTGTGGCCTACCATCAGTACCCTCCGTATCCCCAGACCGGGCAGCCTTTGTCCTACTACAACGTGAATGCCACAGCCATGCCTGGCAGCCCGACGGTGGCACCCTACGGCATGGCGCCGCAGAGCGCCACGACGTATCACGCGTATTACCCGGCGATGAATGGCGGTGGCGGCTCTCCCTCGGTGGCGTCTGGGTCTTCGCCTCAGTTGGTGCCGGGCTTCCAGGTGCATCATCATCATCCTGCCGCTGCTGCCGCTGCTGCCGCTGCCGCTGCTGCTGCAGCTCATGGGGCTCATGGGATGGCTGGCATGCCTCCACCCCCCGGCACATACCCACCTGTCTGACAGAAAGAAAGACAGAGAGACGTTCGGACGGTTTTTTTCATGTATGAGCGGCGCATTGATTGCATCCATCCCTTCGTGTGTGTGTTTCGGGTCGGTGAGTCAGTTTTATGTAGCAAGCACGTGTGCGTGGGATGGTCCGTGCCTGTGTGAGTGGATGGCTTGGTAGGTATTTCGTGGGTCGGCAGGGAGGGAGGGAGGGCCCCCGTGCGTGAGAGCCCTCCCTTGTTGTGGGCTGGGGATGGGCGCGACGGCCGGGTGGTTTTGTTTTCCACTACCTATCCGCCGACGTATTGTATTTGTAATGGTTGCTGCTGCAGCTGCTGATGGGGGGGACTGAGTGGTGCTTTTGATGCTACGTAGATTCACGTACGACAGACGTGGTGGACGCTGCATGGATGGACGGATGGATGGATCTGTGTGTATGCGGATGTTCTCATGAATTCAATCGTCATACTCTACTCTCAATCCTACCAACCAAAAAATATAGACATGCACACTGCACTGACTAATCAATCCCCCCCTACCGAGAGTGTGTGTATCTCACTCAGTAGTCTACTCTACCTCCCTTATGGCTGGTCTCAGCAGCGACAAGACGGCCGCCGGCACGACTGCCTCGAGCTGCCTCACTTTGGCTCGCACGCCACACGCATCTATCTCGCCCCTCGTCGCAGCGTCGCCCCCCTTCAACAGCCGGGCCAGCAGCAGCAGACAGCCCTCCGTCATCTCCCTGTATCAATCACGCACACACGCACACACCCATATGACCACAGCCGTGACGCGCACAAACGCCCACCCACCATACCATGGATGCCTTGGCCGTTCCACCGTGCAGGCCGAGCAACCGAGCGCCTGTATAACACAACGGATGGATGGATGTCACACACACATCACACATCACACGCTCGGTCTTCAAAAGATGTTGGTTGCGTCGGGCGTCTCTGACCTTTTTGGGTGCGAGTGATCCACACGAGAATGCAGGCTGGTCGATGTGGCTGCTGGCCACGGCAAAGGGGCCGCTCGGGAGGAACGGCTGCTTGCTCTCCATGGCCTGGGGGTCCACCCGCTGCTTCTCAGCGTCGAGCACATGGTCACACACGTGCTGGACGAGCCGGTGCCGCCAATCCTCGGAGAAGGACGACCAGGCAGCCAGGGCATCCGCTGACGCAACCCTGCACCACACCACATATACACACACACGGACCGAGTACGTCGATCGCATCCATCCGTTCACCACCTCAGGCACCCACCCACCCACCTGAGCGACGGCATGTTGTCATTGATGTGCGATATGAGCAGCGAGTAGAGGCCCTTCTCGTCCTCCACCACGGGGCCCATCTCAGCCATGTCCAGGGCCCCGCTGATGGCCTCGACGCACCGTAGGCAGGCCTCTCGGACAGGCCAGGAGTGGTCCTTGAGCCCCACTGAGGCGCTGCCCACCACCCGACGGACGGCGTCCACTGCGTGTGGGGGCAGGGGGTGGTCGCCACGCACCCTCGGACCTATCACCTTGGTGCCTAAAGAAAGTGGCCATACACACGTGACCCTTGAACCAATCGGTCGAGCGTGTGTGCGTGTGGGTCACACACTTACAGAGCTCCGACATGCAGTATCCCGCCGCTTCGCGCACGGCGTGGTTGGGGTGGTGCATCGAAGCCTCGTAGAAGGCCACCACGTCAGTCAGGTGAGCGTACAGATGACCCGCCGCACCAGAAGGAAAGATGTGTCGCCACGTGTCCTGCACGGCACGACCGACAACCACACACAACAACAACAACAACAACAACACAAACAGCTCAGTCAGTGCCTGGCCGGCGAGAGTGTGGGCTGGTGCGTCCCGTCACAGAGGCACTCACTTGGCTGAGGTTGCGCACCCCTTCGGCCACATAGTGTCTGTTGAGACACATGGCGGGCAGCAAAGTGGGGAAGTGCTCGTGCCGCGATGACGGCCCGCACTTGTCCATCAGCATCCTCGTGGACACCGTGGCCGCGTACCGCACCTGGCTCCAGTTGTCGCACAGGCCTTCCCTCAGCACGCTCGCCGCCCGCGAGGCATACTGCGACCGGAATGCGTCAGCCGAGATGAGGCTGCCGCACTCCCCGATGGCGAAGAAGCTCACCTCCTTCACAAAGCGGTTGCCGTGCAGCGTGGCCGCACACATGACGTCCATGATCTCAAGGGCGGCTTGGTCGTAGTCAGTGGCGTGCTCATGGGCCTGGCTGGCCGCCTCGTGCTCGACCATGCCCCTCACCGCCCCCCTGATGCAGTCGAGAGCGGTCTCGAGCTGGCCCGACTGCACAGCAGGGGCCGCTGTGTGCTGCGGGTGGTCTGCATGGCCGCATGTGTCGAAGCTTGTGGCTGCTGTGGCGTGTGCGCCGTTTGGCTCGGCGGTCTCCTTCAGCAGCTGCGCCGTGACGTAGCTCATGAGGGTGGTCTTGATCTCATTGTAGTGGGTCACGCCGAGCCTCTTGAAGCACCCCAGGGAGGCCTTGGCACATGCCTCACGCACACGGTGCTCTGGATCGAACGCCTGCGCACACACATCCAGGGACACACACACACACATCCATGCCACGCCAGCCGATCAGGTGCATCGGCAGCTGACCAGTCCGGTAGGATGCTCTCCGTCAGAGGGCTGGACCAGCAGGGAGAGCACCTCGGCGGCGAACTCCAGCGAGCCGACATCCATGACGAGTGCGGCAGCCGATAGACCGCCGTGCGCTCGAGCCCATGCCTTGCTGGCCGCGCCATGTGCTGCTGTCGAGTACTCCCTGAGCACCGAAAGCAGCGCATCCTCGAGCTGAGCAACGTCTCCTGCACCATGGCGCAACTGACAACCGCAAACACACAGAAGAGATCACATTTGTGCTTTGCTCTTTTGACCGGCTCACCTGGCTGCTGAGTTTCTCCAGCGTCCTCTCCCGCACGAGCACCCTCTCACTCAGCAGATCTTCCAGCAGGGACATGCACCCGCCCTCAGCCATGATGATGTGATGATGTCTGCAACCGCACTTTTTGATCTCTGTGATCTTCCTCTCCACCAGATATGCTCACGCAATGTCGAGGTCCCCTTCTCGATGGCTTTTCTCCTGGAGCAGCAGCGGTTTCAGGGAGCACCCTAGCAACTTGCGAGCTAAGCCACGAACAAAACCCTTGCACCATTCGCGCAGCATCTGGTGCTATCGTGCGTGCGATGGATCCATCTGGCGGCGTGAGCAAGGAGGACCTGCTGACGCGGCTCAAGCACAAGAAAGCCAAGGCCAACAGACAGGCCGGCCCGACGGACAACACACGACCAGAGAAGCGCCGCAAGACAGATGCCGACAACACTCATCAGCTCGGCACATCAGACTACAATGATCTGACTCACCACGAGGCGTCGCCCACAGAAGACACGAGTCACTCCGAGGCCGTTTCGGGATCAGGCGGCGCTGCGATGTCGTCAGCAGAGAGCTTCGAGGAGCTGGGTGTGTGCCCGGAGCTATGCGAGGCGTGCCGGGCTCTGGGGTGGGTGCGTCCGACCAAGATCCAGGTCAAGGCCATCCCGTGGGCCCTCAAGGGGCGGGACATCATCGGCCTCGCGGAGACCGGCTCCGGCAAGACGGGCGCCTTCGCCCTGCCCATCCTGCAGTCACTGCTCGATCAGCCGCAGCGCGTGTACGGCGTGGTGCTGGCCCCGACAAGGGAGCTGTGTGTGCAGATAGCGGAGCAGTTCCAGGCCCTGGGTGCGAGCATCGCTCTGGAGGTGGCTGTGGTGGTGGGGGGGCTGGACATGGTGACTCAGGCGATGGCTCTGTCGAGGAAGCCGCACATCATCGTGGCGTCTCCTGGGCGGCTGGTGGATCACCTGGAGAACACCAAGGGGTTCCACATCCGGTGCATCAAGTACCTGGTCATGGACGAGGCCGACCGGCTGCTCTCGATGGACTTTGAGGAACCCCTCAACAAGATCATCCAGGCATGTCGAGGCGACAGACAGATGACTGACACCCATGGGGAAATGAGCGAATGAACACATTGTAGGTGTGTGTGTGGGTGTGTGTGGGTGTGTGTGGGTGTTGACGCGTATGCAGGCTGCATCAGGCGACCGACGGACGTACCTCTTCTCGGCCACCATGACGAGCAAAGTCAGCAAGCTGCAGCGGGCGTCCCTCACAAAGCCCGTCAAGGTCGGCCAGTCAGTCTGTCAGCCCATCCGCCACACACACACAGGCAGACAGACATGTGCCCGTCCGTGTCTGTGCGTGTGTCTTGTAGGTTGAGGTGAGCACCAAGTACGAAACGGTGAGCACGTTGGTGCAGAGCTACATGTTCATCCCCTTCAAGTACAAGCACACCTACCTCGTGGCACTCCTCAAGCACCTCGAGGCCTACGTCACCATGGTCTTCGCAGCCACCTGCCTCGGCGCACAACGAACCGCTCTCCTGCTAAGGAAACTCGCCTTCCCAGCGGTCGGTTGGTCGGCCAGCTACCTGCGGCACAGATGCACTCCCATGCCCCCACATGTGTGTGTGTCTTGATCGTCGATCAGATATGTTTACACGGGAAGATGAGTCAGTCCCAGCGGTTGGGGGCGTTGAACCACTTCAAGAGCGGTGCCAAGAAGGTGCTGGTGGTGACGGAGGTGGGCAGCCGCGGGCTGGACATCCCCTCGGTCGATGTGGTCGTCAACATGGACATCCCCACGGCCTCCAAAGACTACATTCACCGAGTGGGACGCACCGCACGGGCGGGCAGGACCGGACGCGCCATCACTCTCGTCACCCAGTATGTAGGAGCCAACACACTTACACACACGCACACACGCGGGCAGCTGGGGTGAGTCCGTGTGTGTATGTGTCCTGTGCGATGCTGACACACTGACACACGCATATTACAGGTATGACATCGAGCCCTTCCAGCGGATAGAGCATGCACTCGGACACAAGCTCGAGGAAACAACCGTGAGTGTGTTGCCGGACAGACACACACACACCACACGGCAGCTTGCATAGTGAACCTCTGTGTGTGTGTGTGTGTGTGTGTGCAGGAGGTGCATGAGGACATGGCTATGGCGCATCACGAGAGGGTCCTCGAGGCCCTCAGAGAAGTCGACTCTGAGATGCACTCGACCAGCAGCGGCAGCGGCAGCGGCAAGCCGGCACATAAGTCAAGGAAAAAGAGGCACCAAAAGGGAGGCGCCAAGTGAGGCTGACCGATGGGTGACACACATAAGGTGTGTGCGTGGGAAGGCGTTCATGGGTGCGCTTGTACTTGAGGCGACGCTTGCTGGAGTGACTGCAAGACACTTCTATAGGCTCACAAATCCATACCACGCCCGGCTGTAAGAATCTTCCGGACAATGACGTATCATTGCAACGAAGAGAAAAATCAATTCATCCAATCCATCCATCAATCTGTCCCGTCCCATTCTTCACAGACAGGCAGCCAGCCAGCCAGACAGTGGACCCATTCACCCTTACGACAGCCGAAAACTGCATGGATTCACAAAAAGTCGAGAATTCTCGACGGGAGACGCGCGCGCAATTTGCATGTTTTTCCTCCCGTTTCTCTCCCACTCTCGGTTGCTCAAGAGCTGCTCAGACACTGTGATCGCAGACCCCTGAACTCACCTGCGGCGTTTCCTGCGGGCAGACACACTGAAACGCTGCCATTGAATGCACACGAGGGTGAGGATCCGGAAGTGGTACTCAGTGCGCTACCACGAGGGGTGGTGCTACAAGGGAAGAGCTTCAAGGCCGGTGGCTCAAAGAAGGTAAAAGAAGGTCACAAACGCCACCAAACGAGAGCTGTAGAGCCGTATTGATGCGGACGCCAGACACTCTCGGACACCGTCCGCATCATGGCCGCTGTTGCCTTCGATTCTTTGCAGACCCCACATTTTGCCTGTCGGCCAGAATAGACAGATTTCTCTGTCATTTAGTGGATGGCGTCGGAGACCGAGCGAGTTGGTCAGTGGAGGAGATATCCGTACTAAACGAAGACGGTACGAAGCGAACAATGGCTGGGCGTGTGAACAAATATGGAGGGATACGCATGTGTACACCGGTCTGCAGGCCCCAAACAACTACCAAGGGGAAAACCCATTCACTGATTTTCGCTGTGGTGCAGAGTTCGCGTATTCGGACATACGCAAAAGGTAAGAACCAACCTTTACGAAGAACCAACATTTATTACAAGAAGTTCGAGACATCTCTGTTCGTCAGCAGTAGTGAGGCGGCCCATCCTCGAGAGGCCATCAGCTGCTCGCCACCTCCAGCCACCACCACAGCAGCAGCAGCAGCAGCAGCAGCCGTAGCAACAGCAGCAGCAGCAATGTTACGAAAGGGCACCCTCTTCCGCACCAACGGCCAAGTTCACCAGTGGGAGAACCTTGTGGAGGCGCACCTGCACTGTGCCAACGGGTTTTCCGTCCTTGGCAAGGAACCGACCCCCGACGCGCCGCCATTCATCGGCCCTGCCCATGCCCGCGTGCCCCTCCGGAAGGCCGCCCTCGAGGCCGTCGACCAGGCACCTGATGGGACCCCCACATTCTGCCCCCGAGCAGGAGCTGGTTTTCCTTGAGGGCGCCAGGGAGGACTACGAGACCAAGAGGGACCGCCCATCCGCCCGCACCGTCTACGATGTCAACCTGGGGATCAACCCCCACCAGGCAGCCAGCCGAGCTGGACCAGATGACGGCCGCCGTGGACGAGTGCCGCCGTGAGCTGCGCGGCAGCGGAATTCTCGTGGGCGAGGGGGAGGACGAGGCGGTGTGGATGGACGAAAGGAGCATCTCATGGGGCATGGCAATGTTCGCCCTCAGCGTCCTCAACACGGAGACCATGCAGAGGAACATGGGAAGCTGCGTCAGTGAGAAGCCCACCAGCAAAGACATCACGAGGAGTAACATGTTGGTGGTATTGAAGTGGCAGCACTCCTGGCAGTATTTCATGACGCCTGGCGGTCGCCCTGTTGGACAAGAAAAGACAGATAGACAGACATACATTGCTGCCTACATTTATATTTTCTTGTCTTGTCATTTTCATGGCATCGCCCCTCAACCGGATGGTTGGTTGAGGATGGATGACTCGGTTAATCCTCATGGTGTCGACTTTCGCCGCGATTGTGTTGAGCGGTGCATGAAATAGACGCATGCACGGAATAAAGCTCCATCGGCACGCACGCAGGCTGAAGAGCGCTAACCGCTGTAACGCAGTTCTACAGCGTCTGTGGAAACGAAGAGCGCCAAGGAGGGAACAAAACAAGACACACAGATCAGGGAGGGAGGGAGAGAAGAGACACGACATACGTGCATTTTCAGGCGTATGTTCCTGGACATTTCGTACGTATCTATGCACGAGAGGTGGTGGGTGTCAATCCATTAACGAGAACGTCCACAAGCGGACGCTCCATACACACGTACATGCATTCACCGGTCAGCGACTGATCTACGCATCGTTGGCCAGTCAGACCATCCATCCATCCACAATAAGCACTCATTAATCACTCTCCAACATTCCTGTATTCATGCACGTCGGCCGTTCGGTCACTTGGTTACTTCTTGCCCTTGCGTGTCTTGGCGCTGGCCGCCGCCCTCATGCTGCTGCCGCCCTCACTCCCCGATGAATTGCTGCCCTCATCAGACACATGGCCACGCCCCCCATCTCGGTCGACAACACGCGCGCCGCCTGCACACAGCACACAGCAACACAGAGAGAAAGAGCACTTGTATGGGTGGGTCCATTCGTGCAGTCAGGCATCACGCAGCGTATGTCATGCAGCAGGCGGGTGTCAGCACAGATCTTGGTAAAGTGGTTATACTGTTCAAGTCAGCGTCCACGAAGGGCTCGGCTTGCAAATATTCAATCGCTCTCATCACACACCTGCCTGCCTGCCTGAATTTGTCCCTCACTGACCTTGTTTGTTTGTGATGTTCGGGCCACCATCTCCCGCCTGTCTTGCGTGCAGTATGTGCGTGTGCGCCGCACTCAGCCTGACATTCCCCTCGTTGGCACCCACACCCTTCAGCGCCAAAGTGCGGTAGCCCCTCGAAGGCCGGATGTCCTTGGCCGAATCGGTGAGGAGGAGTTCCCGCAGGCGCATGACGGAGAAGTCTCCATCGTTGGTGGAGTAGGCTATCTTGGGAATGTGCATCTTGTGCAGGAAGGCCAGGCAGACGGCGCACGGCATCGAGTTGAGGAAGGCGGGCTGGTGGCCATCGGCGGAAGCAGCGGCGGACGTGATGCGACCGACATGAAGGGTCAACTGCATCAGAGAGAAGATTTGTATGTGTGTGTTCGAGAGCGAGCATGGGTCGGCCAGCGCACCTTTTTGGTTTTACGTTTGAGCTTGTTGCCCCCGCCGCCCTTTAACCCGCCACCCTTTCGATAGACCCTGCACCACACACACACACACAGTGTCAGCCACGGTAATTGGGGCACGTTTCCCTTCCTCCGCTGCCCACTCATGCAGCTCATGACCCTGTCCTTCTTGCCTGCCTGCCTTGCTTGCTCCCCGCCTTTCTCACCCGGCAGGTAGAGTTGAGGAAGGTCTTGAGGACGGCTACCTCTGCGTGGAGGCTGCATCCGTGGGAGGGCGACCGTCCCTCACTGCCGATCATGTGCATCCAACGAGGCTTCCGCCAACGACCACGCTCCTCATTGCACCCCTCGGCCACCTTCTTGCGACCTCGCGTCAACACCGCACCTGAACAGCGCGACGGAGAGCGACGAAACGGCACACATACATTGATTGAGTCCCTTGATCACCTGTCAGTCACACCCGTCTGTGGCTCTTCCTGTCTGTTACTGTCCGTGTGTGTACCGTGCTTGTGCAGCATGACCGACTCCTTGGCAGCGGCGTGAATCGCCGACTCCATCTCCGTTTTGGCGTGGATATTCAAAGGGTGAAAGGTGCTATGTTACGAACTTGAAACAAAGGCGGCAAAGCAGAATTTGAAGCGCTGGTGCGCGAGCTTATTTCCTTTCCCCGTTTGAGCTTGCAAATTCTGAGCTGAGCTACGCTGCTTGCCACCGCCAGCCAGTGGCACCTCAACAGCAGCAGCAGCAGCAGCAGCAGCAAGAGCAGCAGCAAGAGCAGCAGCAGTCAGCAGCAGCAGCAGCAGTAGTAGCAGCGACAGCAGCAAGAGCAAGAGCAGCAGCAGCAATGTTACGAAAGGGCACCCTCTTCCGCACCAACGGCCAAGTCCACCAGTGGAAGGACCTTGTGGAGGCCCACCTGCACTGTGCCAACGGGGTCTCCGTCCTTACCAAAGAGCTGCAGATGCCCGACCCCAAGGACAGATGCGGCTTCCTCAAGGTCGACAGTGTGCTCAAGGTGGCCGCCCAGGACGGCCCCTCGAACCTGCGCCACTGCGCGGGCATGCTGCAGAGGGAGGCAAGGCTGATGCGCAGGTTCGGCGGCGAGGTGCCCGACGCCAGCCCGCCCTTCGTCGCACTCCTCTTTGAGGACACCGACCCCACACACAGCGCCACGTTCGAGGTCTGCCAGGCGGGAAGGCAGATGCGACTGCCGTGTGTGGCGATCGGGATGCCTCGTGTTTCAGGTACACATGCATGTAAGGCTCATGTAAGGCTGTAGAGGGTGGGGCACGCAGTGCAATGCTCCCACTGCATGTCATTCTCTGTGTCTGTGGTGTGTGATTCATGTCTGTTTGATGCAGAGGAGTTCACCGAGCAGCGCAACCTGCTGCTGAGGGATAGGAAGGGCAACCCGGGAGATCTCAACCTGGAAACCGTGGTCGACCGCTGCAGCGGCAAGACGGCCGAGCAGAGGGTCAGGTCAGTGGCGGAGGACTTGTTCGCCGTCACGACCGCCCTCGAGCTCATCAACGAGGCCCACATCCACGCCGCCAAGGAGGGCCTCCTCTTGACGGACCACCACAAAAACAACGTTTTTGTCAAGAGGTCGGCTTTGCGGGTGTCGGCATCGCAGCAGGAGAGGGACGTCAAGGAGGCCATCCGGGTCATCGACCTGGCTAACGCCACCCTCGTCCAGCCATCCCCCGACGCGCCCGCATTCATCGGCCCTGCCCATGCCCGCGTGCCCCTCCGGAAGGCCGCCCTCGAGGCCGTCGACCAGGCACCTGATGGGACCCCCACATTCTGCCCCCCCGAGCAGGAGCTGGTTTTCCTTGAGGGCGCCAGGGAGGACTACGAGGGCAAGAGGGACCGTCCATCCGCCCGCACCGTCTACGAGGTTAACCTGGGCATCAACCCCACCAGCAGCCAGCCGAGCTGGACCAGATGACGGCCGCCGTGGACGAGTGCCGCCGTGAGCTGCGCGGCAGCGGAATCCTCGTGGGCGAGGGGGAGGACGAGGCGGTGTGGATGGACGAGAGGAGCATCTCATGGGGCATGGGGATGTTCGCCCTCAGCGTCCTCAACACGGAGACCATGCAGAGGAACATGGGATGCTGGGTCAGTGAGGAGCCCACCAGCAAAGACATCACGAGGAGTAACATGTTGGTGGTGATGAAGTGGCGGCACTCCTGGCACCCTTTCATGACGCCTGACGGCCGCCCCCTGGGTAGCCACAGACTGACCTGTCCCCTGGAGCGGCTGAAGGAGCTGCCGGGCCTGGAGTGGGTGGACGAGTGGATGGGCATCATCGGCGAGACCGCTGCCAAGGGACTTCAGTGGCGGCACGAAGACCGTGCCTCCCTGGAGGACCTGGCGGCGGGCTTCAAGCGCGCCCGGGCACTGGTGCAGTCGGTCATCGACGCCGCAACGCCACCCATGGCGACGCCCAGGGCCCCCCCGCCGCCCCTACAGCTGCACTGTACGAACCCACGCGCACCACCCACGTACAACCCCATCACGTGTGTGTGTGTGTATATTTTGTCGATCAGGTGGTGTTTCTGAGTCCGCCACGCTCACCACCAGCCCCCTCAGTCGCCAGGCCTCCCTCACCCAGCAGGGCGGCTCCCGCCCCCCCTGCCCAACGGACCGGCAGCAGCAGCCGTGCCGACGGATGGCAAAAAGGCCCCAGCAGGACCGACGAGAGGAGATCAGGGCTGGTGGAAGAGGAGGACAGCAGCAGACAGCGCCAGGGGCCCCGCGACCTCCTGGACAACAGACAGGGCGACGCCAAGCCGACCGCAGAAGGCCCCCGCAGGTCTCTCGCCCGCCCACCCAGAAGGCGGCCATCCCCACCCACGCTGAGCTGATCAAGAGGGAGGAGAGGGAGTGGAGGGGCAGGTGGGAGGGGGGGATGGTCAAGGGGGCCAGGCCAAGAGTCGACACGGGGTCGGCCCTCCTCACCGCCGCCATCACCAAGCCAAGAGGGGAGAGGCCGACAGCGCAGCAGCTGCTCAAGGCGGCACGGCAGGCGGAGAGGGAGGACGACCAGCAGGAGCAGCAGACGGCCGCGGGTGCAACGAGAGCCCCACTGCAGCAGCAGCCCACGACAGCCAGCACCCTCCCCCCGTCCGACGAGGCTTCCCAGCCACCACCCAAGCCCTCCCTCGCCCCACCACCAGCCGGCTGCACATTCAGGCCACACCTGACCCGCAGAGCCAGCCGCATCCAGAGGGAGGAGCCGGTGCACGAGCGGCTGTACGCCCTCCGTGCCGCCCAGAAGGAGTCGGCAGTCGAGACGCCGGCGGCCCACGTGCGGCCGTGGGTCTGCGCCGGCACAAGGAGGATCACCGCGGCCCAAGACAGGCGCGAGCCGGTGTGGAAGCGCCTCTACAGGAGGCGGCTCAGGGGAGGAGAGGGGGAGGTGACTGAGCAGGAGCAGCCACAGGCACCACGCGAGGAGAGGGAGACGGGGACGGCGGGGCGGGCCGACCGTCGTGGTGGGGGAAGGGGTGAGCTGAGGGGCCGGGCAGCACGCCGTCATTGATTAGAACCCCCCTCCCTGCACAAACACACTGACGGCATCAGCAGCTGGGGGCCACGCAATCGTCTCTTTCTGTTTATGGATGCATAGCGGTGCTCTCCTTCTTGCCCGGCGTTATGACAAGGCGGCTGTCGGCCACGATGTGAGGGAGGCGGTGTCCGACAAGCCCGTCCACGGGCTCTCATCGACCCCGTTCCTGTGTCGCCGTGTGCCGTACCTCCTCATCTTCGTCTCAAGACGGTGACACTTCGTCTCAAGACGAGCGCACTGCCCTTCAGAGCAGCACCAGATGATACTAATGGTGGTGGAGGTGGTGATCCGTGCAGTCCGTTTCGGTTTTTGTCGGTGTGGGAGCTGATGGCCATGACACTGAGGGAGGTCGCTAGGGATGGCGGTGATGGGGGCGATAGGACAAGACCAATCTCGGTACGAGAAGCACACACAAATGCAGGAGAGTTGAGTGCACTCCTGCCCACGTTGTCCTGTCGTGTTAGGTCTGGAGATAGTGTGGTTCGCATCAGAGGTGGTGCTGCGTCAGCCCGACCAGCTGTCCCTCATCGCACACAGCTGCAGCCGCACCACACACACCAAACACCGACACCGTCACCAACACCACTGACAGAGAGAGGGACGCTGCGCTCGACGGCACACCAGACGAGCCCCCCGCCGTCGCCTTTGCCACCTTTCTCATCGCGTCAACACACAGGTATGGTCTGCCAAAAGACACACTCACACGCACCTGTCATCCCGCTTTCCATCTGTTGACCAGGCTGGAGCACTCCGTCCGTGGCCGTGGGTGGCTCCTAGACGTGGATGTGGAGGTCCATAATGGTGGATGACTTGATACCGGCATTAGTGGGGGCTACGTCATGCCGCTGCTCAAGCCTGCCGGCGGCGGCTGCTGCACCTCAACCGTCGGTCCGTTCGGCACACGCAACCAGCTAAACTCTTCGACTTGGTGTCAACGAGGCGGGCGACTACATACTGGAGGCGTTCATTCACGAGAATCCCCCGGGAGGGCGACCGTTGCGGGCGATTCGAGCGACTTAATGGTCGATCAGGTGCCCGACCAGCTGGCCTTCCGCCAGGAGCCTGCCTCTGGCGTAGCTGGGCAGCCCTTCGCCGACATGCCCATCGTCTCTGTCCGCGACTCCTCCGGCGACCGGCGAGTGCGCACCTACACGGGAGACATCCACCTCTTCTTCACCGGCCAGCGGGTTGTTCCGTCACGGGCATCACCACATAGACCGCTGTCAAGGGAGAGGATGGCTCAGTTCCCATCTCTTGTGGTCGATACGTCGGGCAGCGGAGCGGCGCGACATCGGCATCGGGAGGAATGTGGAGCGACCCATAGAGGACTACCGCAGCACCATCAGTCCACACCCGAACAAGGCGGATCGTCCATCCACACCGAGGCTGCACTTCGTCCATCTCAGCCACTAGCACCCACCACCGGCAACAGTGACCTCCTGGAGGGGCTGAAGTCGTTCGGCCATCGGCCAGCCCGCAGCGTCTGTGCCCTCTCCGGCCGACGAGAAGCACCCCACCCACCACCCACCGCCACCACGAGAAGAGGCCCCCGCGCC